ATACTGTATTTCCCATCCTGAGCTCTCATTTCCCTACATTTCCTCTAAGAAATACCAGATGGAGGAGTTGATGGAAATGATACAGAAATTAATATTGAAGTAATGGTTTGACCTTTTTAAGATGAAAAGCTTGCCAAACTTTCCATATCGACATGGCAACATTTTAGGAATAAATCTAATATCTTTTAGATTTAGCACAGTTCAAAAGTCACCATCTGTTTCAAGAAGTAAAGGTTCTCACTATTACATAGTTTCTTGGCTCTAAGTCTAAAAGCAGGCAATCCATAGTTTATAAAACATTAACTATCAGGAATGCGTGAGAAACTTTTATATATTTTAGAAAATCAGAAACACAAAGGACTTTCTGAGTTATTACCAAAATTACAGTTGATAATACATTATGGATATTCTTTCTTCTTACATAGACGTGGATAAATCTCCACTCATTCTCTATATGGAGTTATACAAGTCAATACCGCCTGGGCTGCACGTTGTAATACAAAAAAATTATGTGGGAAAATGGCAAAGCACTAGAATCTGATTTTGAGAAGAGTTGTCTGAAAGGCTTTTGACAAATTAAATATGGGTATTATAAGAAGTTGTATTTTGTTTCTTTCTTATTTTTTATAAATTATTTACTATAGTAAACCTCTTCATTTGATATAAGCAAAATCAGTCCTACTCAAAATCCTTTTTACTTCCCCTTTTTTTGAGGTTAATGCTGGGTTTGCATTATAATGAATTTTTAATCTACTTTCTTCATCAAACAAGTGTGGGAAATAATAAATAAGCTCAAACAGGAAGTAAAAATGAGTCCATTTACAAAACTCAGCAGCGGTTTTTATTAGCTTGTTTTGTTTTCTGGACCAAACATCTAAGAAGGTAATGTGACAAAAATGCTTGCAATGGTTTTACCTGGTTTGAGTTTTCTCAAGTGCGAGGCTTCTTGCCGTCCAGCTACTAGAAAATTTCTAGCCTTTGTTCAATTGGTCTTAAACCAGTATGCGTTTCTTTCTTTCTTTTTTAGAAAAATATATCTTTATTGATTTCAGAGAGAGGAAGGGAGAAGGAGAGAGTTGAAACATCAATGATGACAGAGTCATCATTGATTGGCCAGCATGCATTGCTTTACACTGACCTGCTACTAAAAAATGACTGATATGCATTAACACTTTCTACTAAACTAATAATTCCAATAGACAACTAAACATGCTCAAATCTCTTTTATATTACATTTTTCCCCCTCTTAACTCCCCTCCCTCCCCCCCAGTTACCCTCTTACCTCTTTTTACACCTTCATAGTTAAACTTTTGGAAAGAGTGGTCTACACTTGTTATTTCTGCACTCATGAAATTCTTGGCCAACTTGGATTTGGATACCCTAAGAGCTTGTTAACCAAAATTAATTATTAGATATTAGAGTGTACCTTAGATATATACATGGGAAACTATACCTCTGGATCAATCTTTGAGGAAATGTTGTTGGTTGATTGGGGTGATAGAATATAATGAAGGTAGAATAGGCTATGTGACTTTTAAACATGCAGATAACACAGTAAATTATCCAGAGGAAAGAACACAGGCCTTCTTTAGAGAACAAAATAATGGATAAAGAAACTTTTTTCTATAGGACAGACACAAAAGGTGCCAGAAAAATTTAAACTTCAGAAACTTTAAAAACTATATATATATATATAGTGTGACAATTTTTCTGAACTTCCCCAAAGGAGAATAACCCTTGTGAAAACCAAGACTCTATGTGATCCCTTTCAAAATTTTTTGAAATGAAAGACAAACTGTGCATGAGTATGAATTACAATGTATTGGTAGAACTGTGATCTCTGCTCCATTTCATTTAAGAAGAACTTCTATCTTGATACTGAATTGACCTCAATCACTACAAGTGGCTTATTTGAGTTTGTCCTACTTCTGTCGTCTATCCTACAGATACAATGCAGATTTATTATGAAGAAATACTGACATGTTTATTCTCCGGGGCCAATAACAAAATAAAATTCAAAGCCATCTTTTACATGTTTACCTTAGAGCTCATTTCACTAATTTAACAAAATAAGTTCTTATCAATCAGGCTATGGTATTTTATTGCCAAGAACCCTTAAATATAAGAGAAATTCCATCAATACTCATACAATTAAAAGTAACCTAATTCATATGCTTTTTAGGGAGAAATTTATTATGAATTTTCATAATAAATTAGTGAGAATTCGGATGGCTAAGCTGAGCAGTACACAAAGACCCTTTTAATTTTAAATTATGCCTAGTTAAGGATGGAGAAGTAAGAATTCAGTATACAAGACAGAGAGAGAAGGTAACATAACTGGACAGATAGGGGTAAAGCAAAAGGCAGTCATACATCAAAGGATGTACACAAAAACAGAATCAGAAGCCTCAATGTGTGTCTTTCTACATTTTCCACCCCCCTGCAAGGAACATTTTCTCATGTATATTGTATCTTGTTGCTCTAAACTTCTAAGATATTTTATTTTGTCAATTACCTTATTTTTCTATGCATTAACACTTTCTACTAAACTAATAATTCCAATAGACAACTAAACATGCTCAAATCTCTTTTATATTACATTTTTCCCCCTCTTAACTCCCCTCCCTCCCCCCCAGTTACCCTCTTACCTCTTTTTACACCTTCATAGTTAAACTTTTGGAAAGAGTGGTCTACACTTGTTATTTGAACTTTCTCTAATCTGATTTCTAACTCTATCCCCTTACAATGAATTCTTCAGGTTATGTGGATAGTTCAATGGACTATCAGAGCATTTGATAAACCTTTCCATCGCCCTCCCTGAGACCCCACCCCTTTTGTTTGCCTCCTGCTGCTCTAGTTACTTCTCCTCAGATTTTATAGCTTCAGCTTCCTCTACTCAGTCCTTAAATGTTAGCTACTCAAGAGTTATTTAAAAAAATAAGTTCTTATCAATCAGGCTACAGTATTTTATTGTTAAGAACCCTTAAATATAAGAGAAATTCTATTAACATTCATACAATTAAAAATGACCTAATTCACATGCTTTTGTTCTAGGCAATTTTTTCTACTCACTCTGTACTTTCATCTACATTCATGGTTTCAGTTCCCATCGGCACACTGACTCATAAATTTATATTTCCTATCTAGACTTCTCCTCTGAGGTCTACATTCATGTATTCAACATGCAAACTCCACTTCATGTTTCATAGGCACCTTCATCTCATCATGCTTAAGCCTGAACTCACAATCTTCTCTATCAAGCCTTCTTGCATTGTTTGTTATCTCAACAAATAATAAAACCTTCTATCCAGGGGTAAGACAGAAAATAAGTATTCATTTTTGACACCTCTCTCTTTTCACTTCTGGTATTAATCAGTCACAATTTTACTCTTAATTTTATTTTAAATCTGTGCCATTGTTTGTTTAAAATGATTATATTATTTAAAATGATGACAATATCAATAGAAATCCCTTTTAAATTGTTTTCTAAGTCATTCAACTTCTCCTCTGTCTCTTTTTTTTTTTTTGGATCAACTGCTAACCTTTGTAAAAGAGATGACTGAAATTGGAGTAAGCCCATTGCTCTGAAAGTTTGTTTTATCTGTACAGAACTCAGTGTTCCAAAAAGGTATGCCTAATTTATGAATAATAATTTCTTTACTTTAGGGTAATTTCATTGCCTTCTTGTCATAATCAACTGAATTACTCAGCCTAGACACCTCATCTCTTCCTTTATTCAGACATTTATTGAGCAACTTTCCCTCTGATGCCCTGGCTAAGTGCATTAAAAATAAGTAAGATACTGTCCCTGCCTTTATAAGGAGTTTCCATTTTCAGGCTGGTGTCAATTTCCTTGATTTCATTTTGAGATTGATGCAGACCCAGGAAAAGTTTATTTGATTTATACAACCTTCATAGGTTAGCCAAGATTCCTGCCGATCAGACAAACTTATCCAACTGTCATATAACATGTAAACTCAGATACAAAATGCTATTTTTAACTGAGAAACAGTTAACTTTAGAGACCATAATTGCTAGATTGCTATACTGATGAAGAATTTTAAATTGTTGGTTGCTATGTGAACATTTCGTTCAGTAATGCCCTTGGGATGTGACCACTGCATTTAGCCATTTCTCTCTCCTGAGATTTCCTTAATCTGAAGCATGAACTAATTTCAAGACTGCCTTCCAAAATGTATATGTTCCAGGAAGATATCTCCATTTAATATTCTTTTTTTTCTACTGGATTTCCCTTTTCTGTGCAGAGTCAATGCCCCTCCCCGCAATTCCTAACAGCTGTACTCTTTTCATTCAACAGATATTTTGTTAAACAATTGAACTTCATCTCAGCTTTAACTGACACCCAGACTCTTTATTTATTTGTTCCATTATATTTTTAAAAAATTAATCCCTTTTGTGTTCAATTCGATTGTATCAAATTATATCTTAGTTTAACTTGTAGTTTACCCCACCACCTTGCAGGACATTTGATCTTGTCTAAAACATCCACCAAGATGAGACATCTGGTCCAGGTCAAATGGCCCTTAGTTCAAATAGCCCATAACATTTATGTATGCTTGCAGGTTACAGAACTAATACATTAAAAAAAATTCTATCATGTTTTATTGTTCCAATAACTGTGTTGTGGCTGTACTGCTAATAATAACCCTTCTTACCTCGGTAACTGGTAGTAATGGCACTTGGGTTAAGGAGATGGGTTGGGTTTGGAATCTTGCAGAAAAGTGGGATTATTAACTATGCACATTTTGGATGGGACCACCATTTAAGGAGCTTTTGGCCTCGACCAAATGTCTCTGTGGACGTTTTGGACAGGACCAAATGTCCACTAATCCTCTACCAAACTGGAAAAAAAATTAGCAAAACAATTTTCAGATGAACCTTTTTGTCTTTCTGCATTGGGGTGACTATTACACATATAAACAATATTTAAAAAATAAGGTTCAGCACCATAGTTCAAAAAATTACTGTGGAGTACTTACCGTATGGTGATAGGGACAGATGCGTTTGTGCTAATGCTATAATTAGCAGAGAGTCAAGCTATTTTGGGAACTTCCACATCCATATTTAACTGTGGGTCTTCCTTCCACAAGAAATAAATGAAGAAATCGTTGTCCAAAATTCTTCTCACTACCTTTAAGAACAAAATTACATTAAATTAATGAGAAACGTAGATTTATTATATTCGGTAACAATCATTCTTTCAACAGAATCTTTGCCTTCAGGGAATTACAATTTGGTGAGATCATAGGAGTATTATTAGATAATTATTCAATATAACAGTACAATATTAGAAATACACATTAGTTTCCACAGGCTGAAAATAGCACAATATTAACAGCATTAACTTGACATGAGATTTTCTTCTGACTCTGTTTACTAATAGATAGATGACCTTAACTATTCTGAGCCTCAGATTCCTCATATATTAGAATGAGATAATGAGAGCAACTAATTATTAGAACTACTGTGATAATTAAATAAAATAATGAAATAAATATTGCCTGGCTCCTACTGAATATTGAATAAGTTGACTTATTACTATTTATATTTTAATTTTAATCTTTCATAAAAACAGAAATGATAAATTATAAGGAAAAAAAAGAAACAGCCTCACTTTCTCCAGCCCACCCTCCATCTCACTTTGATGTACTTTGCTATCATTTACATGTCCACATACAAATATTTTTATAGGCTGATTTTATTTCTTAAAATAATGAAATAATGTAATAAATAGTTTTATTCATCTTCTTCTGTTCACTTAACAATACATTTTAGATATTTTCCCATGTAAGTACATAAATTTCTTTAAAAAACATTCTTGAGTGGAGTATAACTCATACAGAAAAATCACAAATTTTAACCATAGAGCTCAGTGAATTATCCCAAAGTGAATCTGCTCATGCGAACACCACCAATTAAAGATAAAGAACATTATTTACACTGTCAGACGTCCTATCAATCACCACTTCTCTTTCCTCCAACAAAAGTAACCACAATCCTGACATTTAACAGCTAAGGTTATTTTGCCTGATTTTAATGTTCATATTAGTGGTTCATACCGTATATATTCTTTTGTGTCTATTTGCTTTTTGCTCAATATTGTGTTTAAGAGATTGCATTCATGCTAGTTTATTAATTTTCATTGCTTTAATAATCTATAATGAACACTCACAATTCAGTTATTCCTTTTTCTGTAGATGGCCACCCCCTCCCAGGTTTTGGTTACTATGAATAACGCTGCTATGACAACCTGGTATGTGTCTCCGTTGTGCATATAACTGGGAGGTGAATTGTTCTGTGAATATGAATGTGATTTAGTAGCTATTGTGAATTTTTCAAGTGATGTTTTGAATTAACTTCTTACCAGCAGGATATATGAGAGTTACAGCTGATCCATAGTCTTACCATCACTATTCTGTGTTTATTATTGTAGATTTAATTTTCTTCATATTAAGGAAGTTGAACATGTTTTCATGCTTAGTGGCTATTTTGATATCTCTTTCTGTGAAGTTTCAGTTTGTGTTTCTTGCTCATATTTGTGTTTGGTTGTTTTTTACCCTTATTGATTACAGAGTTATATCAGTGTATATATCTAATATTTATGTCTACATACATACATATGTATGCGTATAGGATGCAAGCTCTTTGTAAACCATATATATTGAAAATATCTTCTCTAATTCTGTAGACTGTCTTGCCAATATCTTAAGGACAAATTTTGATAAACATATGTTCTTAATTTCAGTGTAGGAAACAATTTTATCAATTGTGATTATAATTAGTAGTTTTTATGTCATCTATTGGATAAAATAACAGTATTAAAGATTCAATAATAAAATACGAGTAGCAAAGAATATCATAAAAGTGGTTGAAAAGTCACTCTTTTGAGATCCTCCTAAATGTCCTTTACTAGAGTCCACTCAACCCATCCAGGTTTTTATTACACTTCTGAGGACTTGAGCTGTACTAAAACCCCAATTAGCCTTGGGCTTGGCAGAGGGAAATGAAGCTTCCCCATTTCTGCCTCTCCTGAGATCATTAGCAGTTTTTTGAATTTCTACTCTGAGTGTTTTCCTTTATTTTTCCCATGACTTTCTATTCAGTTTCTTAGTCTGCTTTTCTCTGAACTTGAGAGCATAATTAACAATTTTTAGTATTATTTTTTACTTTAAAAAAAATTAGGGTAGGGCTTTGGGGGCACATTTAGAAACATAAAACTTTGTACTAGCATCTCATGTTTTCTCTCTTGGATACAGAAAAGATTCTATCATAAAATGGCATAAAATTGTTCTTCATTCTTGAATTGTTGGCTTGCTCTCTACTCCTATCCTTTCAGGGAAAAAACGGTGGTTCATTTTGTTATGCACTAAGGGAATGTTTGTTATCCTACTCCCTCCCACTATTTCTACCCAAAAGTCCATAATACTTAATATTTTTATAAGTTGTGTTATGTTACCATTTCAGACTCATATTTTTTAGATAAGACTTAGAAATGCAGTACACCGGATGGAGTAGAACATTTAGGTCAGGCTGTTGTGCCATATGTACAAGGTTTGTTTTTCAAAGCTTCAAAAACTGAATTTGAAAAAATGATTATACACATTAAACAAGGTGTATGCAGTGCCATGCAAGAATACATTATTTTTAAAGGAAGATCAACCACTAAAATCAATGACAGGGATGAAGAGTCTTATCCAAGTATAGCAAGATGCCATTATGAACCACAGCTACCCTGGAATATAGTACATGGAAAGGCTGCTTTAATAAAGGTAATAGGAGTGAAAATGAAAATACACAACTAAGCTTAGTTCTCTCTATAGCCTGCTATTATATAGTAACAGTTTCTGACCCACCATACCATTTATTCTATTAATAAGCTATTTCTTGTTTATATAATAACACTTTTAAATGAATTCAAAGTATTTTGCCGATAGTATGTGACAGTAGGCAGGGAAAGGAAGACCCCTGGCTACTGATGTATCTGCATGATTCCACAGCAAATATTTTCCCACTTCGGGGAAAACAGGTCATATTGTTTGATGACTTTTTCACTTTTGAATCAACTGACTTTGTGTCACAAAACCTAGATTCTGCAATAAGAGAAACACTATGAATAACCACTCAGGAGGAATTCTTTGGTTTTCACAAACAGTGCTAAAGACTTATATTTTCAAACACAGTTACAAAGAAAATTATTTTATTTTAGAATTGAAAAATTAGTGGCAATAGGAAAATAGAAAGAAAATATAGGATTTTCAAAATAGAATTACTAAAGACAATTATAAGCAATGATTACTCTAAGATAGACATATATTTTTATATTAAGTTTTATGGGTTCCACGTGCCACATTAACTTTAGTTCAACATTATTCATTACACCCAAAGACATCAAGCAAATGTTAATCTCTTTCTGATATACACACACACACACACACACACACACACACACATACACACACAGGGTGGGGCAAAAGTAGATCTATAGTTGTTCGTATGGGAAATAATACAATAATTAATAAATAATAATAATAATACAAGAATAAACTGTTTTACATACTCACAGCTATAAACTTACTTTTGCCCACCCTGCATAAGATTATATACATACATATACACACACACACACACACACACACACACACACACACACATATATATGGCAAATGTGAAAAGCAGTGTCTCTTTCCCATAATATTCCAATTTGTGCTGCCTTTGGACAGGACTTGAAAGCTCTAGAAGAGCTCATTATTAAGCCATTGAAGAAAGTCATTCTGTTGTTTCACTGAATAGATGCTCGATGCTGCATTAGTGAAGAAGTGTGAACCTACCCTTTTTTGAAACAATTTTTATGCTTTTAGACTGTGTATTAACTTTTTTCAATAAATCATTTATGTTGTCAGTTCTCTGAATATTTATCCAGAAAATATTTTGAAATTCTGCAAGGTTTATAATTCTCAAATTTTATTTATCCTGATGAAATCATTGATTGTATATATATATATATTTTAAATACTCACCTGAGTATATTTTTTCCATTGCTTTTCAGAGAGAGTGGAAGGGGGAGAGAGAGAGAGAGAGAGAGAGAGGGAGAAAGAGAGAGAAACATCAATGCAAGAGACATATCAACTGGTTGTCTCCTGCACGAGCCCTGACAGGGGCCAGAGATTGACCCTGCAACCGAGGTACATGCCCTTGGCTGGAATCAAACCAGGGACCCTTCAGTCTGCAGGCCAGCACTATAACCGCTGAGCCAAACTGGCCAGGGCTGATTGTATCTCTTGATTTAAGATTTATTAAATTAAAAAAAAATACTGCTTAGATCAATCAACAGCAATCATCACTTGTAAAACAGTAGACTCTAGTTTCTAGATATCACAGCCTTTTAGAGAGAAAATCTTATGAGTTTGAAAGCCTAGGGCAAAAGTAGGTTTACAGTTGTGAGTACATGAAACATAGAGGTTTTTCTTGTATTACTATTTATTAATTATTGTATTATTCTCTATACAAAACACTGCAAACCTACTTTTGTCCCATCCAGTATATAATATAAATTACTAGTAATAAATAATGAAATAATGCAGAGAGAGGAAAGAATGATATCCTAGGCAACTTTTTAATTTTTTTAATTTTGTTTTTTTAAAGATTTTATTTATTTTTTTTTAAATATACCTTTATTGATTTCAGAGAGAGGAAAGGAGAAGGAGAGAGATAGAAACATCAATGATGAGAGAGTCATTGATCAAGCCCACAACCCGGGCATGTGCCCCGACCGGGAATCGAACCCCGATCGCCTGGATCCTAGGTCGACGCTCAACCGCCGAGCCATGCCTGGCCGGGCTCCTAGGCAACTTTTTAAAAATTTTGCTTTGCTTGGGTATTGCATTGGGTTGTAGAGCATGGAAAGTTCCCACTTCATTGAAATACTGAAGATAGAGTATTTATGATTTATATTGCTATATGGTTTACCATTTCAATTAGAAATGGATATTTTCTTCATTTGAACTACTGTAATGACTGCTCCCAAATATCAATGACAATTTGATTTAAGATCCTGTATAAATAAACATTCAGAAGAGATTCATCAGTTGATCATCAGTTTGAGTTAAAATGAAGTTCAACATCATTCCTTAC